AGATCTTGTGAGTCTTCACAACATTTTTCTTTTTTTCCTATATAGAGCTGGAGTGGATGTCAAGGGTAGGATGGCCTTGAGAACAAGAACGAGGAAACTGCCCACCAATGATGTCTACTAGTCAGAATGGCGGTGGGGGATTATAGGAGGAGTATTAGTATGTGTGAAAACAGAAACTAAGGCAGCAAGAAAATATAGTTAGATGTGCTTGTATATATATAGTAATTACATTAATGGTGGCAGTTTTATATGAGGAGGAGAGTTCAGAAGGACTGCTTTAATAGGCCTATAGCCAAAAAGTGAAAGTGGCTCTTAAGCTCGACTGGCTAACTCTGGAGTGGATGTCATCAGTGGCCTGGCCTAGAGAACAGGGAAGAGGAAACTGCCCACCAATGATGTCAACTAGTCAAAATGGCGGTGGGGGAGTACAGGAGCAGTATTAGCTTGTGCAAAAACAGAAACCAAGGCATCAATAAATTATAGTTAAATGTGCTTATTTTTATATAGTAATTACACCAATGGTGGAAGTTTTATATGAGGAGGAAGGGGGAAAAGGTCTGTTTTAATATGCCTATAGCTGAACAGTGAAAATGGCTCTGGAACTTGATTGGCTAGATTTGGAGTGAATGTCATTGATGGGCCAGCCTAGAGAACAGGAAAAGGGAAGCCCTCCACTGATGATGTCTACTAGTCAAAATGGCAATGGGGGAATATAGGAGGAGGGGAAGGGAAGTATCAGCATGTTACCATTGAGAACCACAGCACAGCCATTGGTCCCTCCCCACATGCCAGGGTGCTAAGTGTAATCCTAGACTCTGACCTCTCCTTCGGGCCCCACATCCTATCACTGGCTAGATACTGCCACCTCAGCCTCCATAACATTTCCAGAATTCACACCTTCATGACTATTTACACCATAAAACAACTTATCCATGCCTTGGTTATATCCAACCTTGATTATGGCAACTCCCTCCTCACTGGTCTACCTTTACACAGGCTAGTCCCCCTTCAGTCTTATACGAATGCTGCTGATAGATTTATATACCTTAATAACCGATCCGTGACTGCTGCCCCTCTCTGCAAATCCTTTCACTGGCCTCCACTACCCTAATGGCTCTGGAACTTGACTGGCTAGATCTGGAGTGCATGTCATTGCTGGGCTGGTCTAGAGAACAAGGAAAAGAAAGCCCTCCACTGGGGTGGATTATAGAAGGAGGGGAAGAGTAGTATTAGCATGTTTGAAAATCCTTAACAAGGCAGCAAGAAAATAAATGTCTGCTTTAATAGGCCTGTAGCTTAAATATAAAAAATGGCTCTTGAACTGATATACTGTATGTTGCACAGCAATGTATGTATTAGAAGCCTTAAAGGATAAGTGCACCTTTTTGGGCAAAAATAATAAATGCACATTTTTTTTTGCAGGTAAAAGAATGTGCATTTAATATTTTTGTGCAAAGGAGCCTGTAAAGCTTTGCCCCAGTGATCAGTAGATCGCTGGTGCCATGCAAGTCTCCTGCAGACGTGTCAGAATATCTGCTTGCCACACAGGATGTATGAGCAAGTAGATATAGTGACAGGAAGCTTCAGTGAACTACCACGGCGCTCCACAGGTTTGGAGGCTAATTTATTGCACATACAGTAAGGTTCTCAGTGAGTTTAATTACCACCTTAATCAGCAACAGAAATTGTGTAATTAATATGTGTTTGGTTTTAAAGGGATGAGGTGGCAGCCCTAATGGGAACATGTTACCACCCTAAAAACAGATAGAACAAATAACACGTTCCAAAGGTGACCTTATCCTTTAACTACTTAAAGTACTGCCGATTTCCAGCAATTGTCAGAGGACAGAGCGGCACCGATCATCAGGGCACTGATGATCAGTGCCCTGATGATCATTGCCCAGCAGTGCCACCCACCAGTGCCACCCACCTGTGCCCAGCACTGCTGCCCACAAGTGCCCAGCAGTGGCACCTACCTGTGCCCATCAGTGCCCAGCAGTGCCACCTACCTGTGCCCATCAGTGGCTAGTATTGCCACCCACCTGTGCCTAGCAGTGCCACGCATCAGTGTCCAGCAGTGCCACCAGTCAGTGCCGTCAGTCAGTGCCACCAATCAGTGCCCATCAGTGCCGCCTATCAGTGCCCACCAGTGCCGCTTAGCAGTGCCCATCATTGTTGCATATAAGTGCAATATCATCAGTGCTGCCTCATCAGTGCCAGCTCATTAGTACAGCCTATCAGTGCTGCCCATCAGTGCCCGTCAGTGATGCCTATACTTGCCACCTCATCAGAGCCCATCAGTGCCGCCTATCAGTGCCCATCAGTGTTGCATATCAGTGTACGTCAGTGCTATCAGTGCAGCCTCATCAACGCACATCAGTGAAGGAGAAAAATTACCTATTTGCAAAATTTTAGAAACATGAATAGAAACAAAGAAAAACTTTTTTTTAGATTTTTTGCTCATTTTTTGTTTATAGTGCAAAAAATAAAACAGCCAGTGGCGAGTAAATACCACCAAAAGCTCTATGTGTGTGGGGAAAACATTCTAAAAATTAAATATGGGTACAGTGTTGCATGACCGCACAATTGTCATTTAAAGTGCAACAGTGCTGAAAGCTGAAAAAATTGGCCTGGGCGGGAAGGGGGTATAATTGCCCAGTAGGCAAGTGGTTAATTAAATAGAAGATGCCATTTCCATGTTACTGGGCTGCATTCTAGTTACCAGGCAGTGAAATTACAATGAGGCTAAATGAGTTCAGGTTTGCTGCCCACAACTGTTATGTGGCTTAGGAGTCAAACATTCTTCGGATTCACTTTAATTATTACACACCAGTCTAATGTTTTCTGTGCAGGGCAATCAAAAGGAGCACACACGTTTATTTTAGTATGTGATATTGGAAGGCACATATACTCACATATACGGGGCAACACAGTGGCTAAATGGTTAGCACTTTTGCCTGCCAGTACTAGGGTCATTGGTTCAAATCCCAACCATGGCAACCTCCTGCCTGGAGTTTGCATGTTCTCCCTGTGCCTGCGTGGGTTTCCTCCCACACTCCAAAGACATGCTGGTAGGTGAATTGGATCCTGTCTAAATTGTCCTTAGTATGTGTATGTATGAATGTAAACTAGGGACCTTAGATTGTACGCCCCTTGAGGATTAGGGACTGATGTGAATGTACAATATATATGTAAAATGCTGCATAAATTGACGGCGCTATATAAGTACCTGAAATAAATAAAATACTCCATTTTTTTCTTTGTGTGAATATGCCACAGTAAAATATTAGAGGATCCTGTGGTATTTTAATGGCTAGTTTAATCCAGCTTCTTATTACTTAAATGAATATTTAGTTGATAACATGTGGCCATGCCATTATTAAGCCAATTAGCTTCAACCACCACATCTTTAACCTTTAAAATCCTTCCATGGGAAGAAACACATTCAGGAGAAATGAGCTTAAACGTGTGGGCACATGGCTTAAGTAGCAGCAGCAGTAAAAATCAAATTGCTGGATTATAAACTGGGTTCACTAGGGAGGATTTATCAATGTTTTCATCAGTAACCCTCATGCACACAAGAAGTGTGTGTGTGCGCTAATACACATGAATCCCAAAATCAAATACACTGCAGGCCAAGAGGCAGCTAAATTAATTACATGACGCCAGTACAATTCATAGCCATGCTGAATTATGGAGGAGGGTTAAAATGATTAGCGATGAAAATGTTACAGTTCCTATTAGGTATTATGCTATGAAAAGTTCCAGCTGTGGCAGAGAATTTTTTTTTTTCACATTTATATCCATGTGCCCACAGTGCAAATAATTATTTGTTTGTAATAATAGTACACATGGGCTTGCAAAATCACCTGGGTTTTAAAGCTGATCTCTGACCTTGTACACTTGTGCAGGTTCCTGCTTACTCTGATTTCACTGCACACTGTGAGCTTCTCACATAGTGCACTAGAAGCTGCTGCAAGTCTGATGATATTTTCAGACCCTCCCAGCAGTCATTGCATAGTGAAGCATAGGGACCTATTGAGTAGATCATTAGGTCTAAAATAAGTTATATAATGAAAACAGAAATGGGTTATTTAACCTCTCTATCGGTCTGATTATGTCAGTATTTCTGTGCTCAAAGCGGTACATTTTTTTGCTTGGAAATATGTAGTTTTTTTTATTGTAGGCCTGTAATTCTTACTCACTGAAATCTGTCTCACAAGAGTCTAGTAAACATACCGGGTATGTAAAATTTGAAACATGAAATCAAGAGTCTAATAAATATATATAATACCGGGTTCATTGAGTGCCTGAAGCAATATAAACATTGAAAGCATGAAGTTTACTGCAGGTGGCAGGGGATTATCATAGGTGGAATAGGGTCATATATATTATATATAATAAAAATATTCATAAAATATAATAATATAATAATAAAATGTTTAATTCAATAATATAATCAAACCAAAAACACTGAAATTTGAAATAGAGCTCCAAGTTCGCACATCGCTGAGCTCAGTCACAGAATTGTTTTCAGTGTCTGATGACGAATTTCCCCACGAATCATTATCACTCAATTCTGCAAGTAGTTCTAATGTACTATCGCTGTTCTCTAGCTGGTCTAAAACTGCTTTTGACCTAAAGGGACGCTATATGAACGCCATGAACATTTCTCAGTTTCCAGGCAGAAATTGCAGTAAAAATGCAGGCAAGGCACAGGACAAAGCACTAGGGACAAAATGTATGTGAAATTGTTTGATACAGTAATGTTTTACTATGTGATTTTAGTGTGTTGAGTGAATGTCACTTTTTACATTTTTGAATTTCCCGCCAGTTCCGTCCCCCCTACGTCCTGTATGTCCAGACGCTTGCAGGGAATGGAACTCGGAAGACGGATGCCGGCATCGGCTGGAGGAGATGGCCAGGGACGCTGTAGGGGGGACATCACAGGAGCGCAGGCAAGGTAAGTGCTGGAGGGATCCCTGATCAACGCTGCAGGGTAATCCCGAGTGTAGCTTGGGGTTACCACTTCTGGTACTGAAAGTTAATCCCGAGCTACACTCGTGAATACCGCCAGGGGTGTTAAGGCTTTTTTCAAATGAGGTGGACTCGTCAGTGGATCCGCTTGCTCAGTGGGGGATCTCTCCACTGATTCCCGCTGAGCTAATGGATGACAGGTCTGTGTCTGTTCTGTTACTGCAGAGCAGACACAGCCCACTGTTTTCCATGGGGCAGTCGGATAGAAACGGACCACCTGTTCTACCTGACTGTCATCCGATCCACCAGACAGATGTGGAACAGATCCCCATCCATCTGTTTTTAGTGTACTGGATCAGATCAGATGCCGTCAGTTGTCAGCTGCCACTCCATAGAGAGCTATGGATGGTCCTACCGGGTCTGCCTGAAAAAGTGACTTGCTGACCCAAGTCAGTGTGAAAGGGGCCTAAAACTTACATTATCATATTGATCGGAGGGGCTAAATATAGGCGGATTAAATTTTAGCTCTCCAGTGACCTACAAATGTATATACTCTCCAGCACCTCCAGGAAATCAATGCCAAGGGAAGGCCAGGGGGACAAGGACAAAGGAAGCCTATGGATAGCGTTTCAGTGATGCAGCCCTCCTCAGTTGGGGAAATCAGCAACTAGAAAAAAGCAAATAGCTGGGACAAACACCTAGTGCATTATCCAAGGTTTATTAAAAGTGTAAAAAAGGACAAAAAACATACAAACATAGCATGTGTATTGATAGCTCTGAGGAAAGGGATTCATCCCTGAAATGCGTCAGCAGGCTGATCGGTTTGTTAATCGGACACTCTACCATTCGTGTGGCCATCTCCATGGTTTTATGGGCTTTATATACGTGCTATGTTTGTGTGAGTATGTTTTTTGTCCTTTTTTACACTTTTAATAAACCTTGGATAATGCAATAGGTGTTTGCACCACCTGTTTGCTTTTTTCCAGTGACGTAGTCATGATTGGGGTTATGGAAGAATCTGAGCATTGAATCTTAAAGGCATAGTACACTTTCAAACGTTTTTGTTGTTTTAAATAGGTATTAGTGTAGTTATATTCCCTTTGCTGTTTGTTTGCCTTACCTTGTAACAATGGACTTACATGTTGTTCCTAAAGTTTGTTGTATCATGGCTGATCAGTTCTCCTTTGTCCATGGTTTGCTACAGCTAGCCTGTCCCCTAACTGCAACGGGCAATTCAACTCCTGTTCTGGGCAACGCAGCATCCAATGCATATGCTGTCATCCACTTTACATCACATCAAAAATGTGTGGATGCTGATGTAATAAAAAAACATCTGCATGGTGACCCCTCTATGTATCTGTGAATGTTCTGCCTGCTTGTGTCAAATCTAACTATTGTGTAGCTCTCACCTGCACCAGTACTAGACTGAGGGTCCAAGGGATTGTGGGATGTGGAGTTTCTTCATTGGAAATGTCAGTTCTCAGACTACAGACAGAGGTCATGAATGAAACTGTACAGTTGCATGCCGCATGATTCTACAGATATAAATTGCAGACACTGGAATGTGAAAAATTACTCTACTAAAGACTCTACAAACAGAACAGCTAATTACACCATGATCAATGCACCCCTTATGCAGATAAAAAAAACACAAGGTGCAGGTAGGAATGTTTATAATGCCTTTAATAATTAATTTTGCTGGCTCCTTGATAGAAGGACTCTACTCCTTCAACTGGACTTATGCCCCATACACATGATAATAAAATAGTACGAAAAATTTTCTCTTAGTTGATGAGCAGGATGTTTTAACCAATAACGATATTGTGAACGAAAAAATCCAGTTGAACAACAGTGAAAAATGTTGTCGTTTCGCCTACGAATGACCGATTTTCTATGCGGTGGTATGACTATCACACAAAAAAAAAAACCTATCCAGCGCTATCACACATAAGCGGAAACAGAAGATGACCCGGATGTTTATGTCCAAGGACTCAAAAAAAAATCCAAATGTTAAAAGTAGATTGGCCTAATGAGATAATGAAACCAGAATTCTGCATATTATATTTTTATGTATCACTATTTATGTATATAGATAATGTAATAAACTATATTATACTCATTGCTGTTAATTGTGTATATCGCTCGTTCTGGCCGGAAGGGCATGGCTACAAGGTCACACGCTCACTGCATCACTTCCACTTGTACGGAAGATGTCAAGACTACGTATTGCCCGACAAGCTATTTTTTTAGATTGGTTAATGTGGGCCATGATTTTGAATAACGAACGAACGTTTCTCGGTCATTGGATGACCGATCGGTCGATTTTCTAATCATGTATTCCCACCTTTAGTGAGGAGAGGTCATCATAAGTCAGGTAGTGGAAGCTTTGCCAACTGCCATAACCAGGGGCGGACTGACAACTCATGGGGCCCCTGGGCAATAGGGGATCATGGGGCCCCTGTGTCCTTGCCCAAACTCAAAAAAGCCTATGAAAAAGGTACCAGGGGCATCTCATGGGGCCCCCTACTGACCCTGGGCCCTCGGGCAATGCCCGAGTTTCCAAACGGTCAGTCCGCCCCTGGCCATAACTCATATACTGTCTCCCAGCTTCTGAGTGTGCAGTTTGTGAGGTCAGGCATTTGACACAGCAACAAATTAGATATCTAGAGGAATTCTCTACACAGTATAGATATTTCCTCAAGATGCTGTATCCGCACAGAAAAAAAAATGGTTTCAGGTTTAGAATGTCATAGCTGGCTGCTGATAGAAATGAAAGAGGAATGTCTGATAATATCAAATCACAGCATGCCTTCTGTAGGCACCTTGTATATTCAGTTTCATATGAAAGCTGAAGTATTCTTTAGGCTGCTTTTGCAGTGATCTGTTATTTTTTTTCATTTTTTTTAAGAATAAATAAATGATCTTTAAATCCTCTGGAACTCTTAACACCCTTCTTTAGTTGTGTGTCTGATGCATTTTGCAAAGTCCTGCTAGCTGTAATTTTATTGAAATGTCACAATATGACATTTCATCGCTTGCAGTGCGGTGTAATGCATCGCAACACGCTGCGCTACATTAAAATGCAGTATGTCTTATATTTTTTTGCGTAAACCATCTCCACACAGTAGTATTAACTGAACATAAGTGGTATGAATAAGACATAAGGCAAATTGCCTTGTGTATGCATTAAGACAGCATTCAGCAATCCAGCACACATTCCCTGAAAATCATAAAGACTACCACACACAGACTTTGGGAAAGTTTCTCGCTTGTGTTCTAAAAGTTTTGCAGTGTGTGCAGGGATGGGCTGACAACTCATGGGGACCCTGGGCAATAGGGGATCATGGGGCCCCTGTGTCCTTGCCCAAACTCAAAAAAGCGTATGAAAAAGGTACCAGGGGCATCTCATGGGGCCCCCTACTGACCCCCGGCCCTCGGGCAGTGCCCGAGTTTCCAAATGGTCAGTCCGCCCCTGAGTGTGTGCCAAATTCATGTGCCTGTCTGGAACTTGTACTTGAATTAGGTGTATGCTGCACCACTTTTAGAACGCATGTGAAACACTTTCACAGAATCTGTCTCTGTATGTGAAAAGAAAGTTGGTCTCAATTAGCTCCAATTTATCAAGGTATGAACTGTCTGTACTTTATTTTGAATTTGGAGCAGGCATTGCACCACAATATAGAAGTGGAGCAAAATAGAAAGGTTGCAGGTGTTTTTTTAATTAAACACACGATACATGAACAAGAGCAGTTAAAACATATGTAGACCCTCATCTTGTAAAACAACCCATTCAGTTTAAAATAGAAATTAAATGAAAAAACATTTGTGTATAGATAAAAATTTATTAATACCTTTTTTTCCTCTTTTATGTGTGATCACATTCCCTCTGTTCTCAGCTGCATAACGATCTTAGAAAGGGGGAGAAAAACAGAACAATGAACTTGAAATGCTGTGCAGGATTTGCGTGTCAGCAGAAGTCTGATCAATGGAGGAGAGCAGACTGAGTTCTCAACACAGTCAGAAAACTGACTACACTGACTACAAAATACATATTTTTTTTTTATCAAATTTCCAGTTTTTTGGTATATATAATTTTGTATTTATGGTGTGTAATATCACAGTTTGAATCATATATATATTTAATATTGTGATATGAGGGAGCACCACATTTATAGGTATATTTAATAGTCAGAAAACTGACTACACTGTGTTCTTCTACTTAGTGTGGTCAGTTTTTAATGGGAAAGCAGAGAGACTGGCAGAAACACCAGTAAGCAATACAAAGAGAACAGGATACTTCCTCATACAAGTACATGGTACACCAGGTACATATCAGGAATATGAAATTTTGGGTTGGCATATTCTTTAACACAGAAAAGAAATGCAGCAGCTTTATTGAATTCCCCCTTGGTGTGAATGGGCCCCATCGCAGCAAAATTGCACTGCACTTGGAGTGCCAAAAAGAATAACTGGCAAAGAAGCGTGCATTACGTGTTTTGCTGCAATTTTTGATTCGAGGGGCAGAGTTGGACAGATTGTGCCAGTGATTCCAAATCACTAGGTGTGAACGGGGCCTAATAAAGGTTTTTCCTAGTATCATTTTGTCACAAATGTTTACATCTGTCAGTACTAACATACAGTGGGTATAGAAAATAATTACCCCGCTTTAAAATAATCACATTTTGTTGCTTTGCAGCCTGAAATGAATACAGACACAGTTTTTGTTTTATCCAGCTGTATTTACTCAGTGCAACCTATAACATCCAAGTGAAAGATATAATACCAACATGTCAGAGAAAAATATAAAAAAAAAATCAAAAACAGGATCACTGAGTTGCAAAAGGATCACTCCCCCCCCCCCCCCCAAAAAATGACTCAATTAGGTGTAGCTGATCACTTTCTCAATGGCACACAAAGACATTTGACTTTCAACTGTGATCAGCTGTGGTCATCATGAAAAGAGCTTTCCGGGGTCATTTCAGTCCCTGATAGTGCAACTGAAACAAACAATCAACTATGGGTGGCAAGGCAATGTTGAAAGATCTCTGGGATAAAGTTGTGGACAGGCACAAGTCAGGAGATGGATACAAAAACATTTCAAATGCTTTATCAATGCTTGAAGTACAGTGAAGTCTATTATTAAGAAGTGGAAGGTATTTGGTACAACACAGACCCTCCCTGGATCAGGAGGTTGCTCTGAACTGGATGAAAGAGCCAGGAGGAAACTGGTCAGAGAGGCTACCAAGAGGCCTACGGTAACTCTGTGGCAGTTGCAAGAATTTATGACAAAAGAGTGGTCATTGTGTGCATGTGACCACAATATCACAAATTATCCACAAATGTGGCTTGAATGAGAGGGTTGCAAGAGAAAGCCACTCCTCAAGAAAGGCCACATGCAGTCACGACTAAGCTTTGACAAAACGCACCTTGAAGATTCTCAGGTCACATGGAAAAAGGTGTTATGGTCAGATGAGACAAAAATTTAATTATTTAGCCTCAATGTCAAACGATATGTCTGGCGGAAATCCAATACAGGTCACCAACCAAATAACACCAGTCCTACAGTTAAAAATGGAGGTGGTAATATCCTGTTATTGGGGTGTTTCTCTGCAGCAGGGACTGGAGCACTTATCAGGATAGAAGGAAAAATGGATGGGGCAAAATACCATCAAATTCTTGAGGAAAATCTGCTGCCCTCTGCCAGAAAGTTGTCAATGGGAAGAATATTTACCTTCCAACATGAGAATGACCAACCAAAGCACACAGCAAAAATGACCACACAGTGGTTGAAGGAGAAAAAGGTGAATGTTCTTGCATGACCATTGAAAATCTGTGGACTTACCTGGAAACTGCAATCCACAAATGGTCACCATCAGACTTAACTGAACTTGAGCAGTTCTGCAAAGAAGAGTGGGCAAATATTGCAAAGTCTAGATGTGCAAAGTTAGTAGAGACAAATCCCAACAGACTAAAGGCTGTAATCAAAGCAAAAGGTGGTTCAACAAAATACTAACACAAGGGGGCAATCCTTTTTCAAACTCGGTGATTCTGTTATTGAATTTTTTTTTCTTCTCTGATACACTATATTGCCAGAAGTATCGGGACACCTGCCTTTATACACACATGAACTTTAATGGCATCCCAGTCTTAGTCCGTAGGGTTCAATATTGAGTTGGCCCACCCTTTGCAGCTATAACAGCTTCAACTCTTCTGGGAAGGCTGTCCACAAGGTTTAGGAGTGTGTCTATGGGAATGATTGACCATTCTTCCAGAAGTTTATTTGTGAGGTCAGGAATTGATGTTGCTTGCAGTCTCCACTTTAATTCATCCCAAAGGTGTTCTATCAGGTTAAGGTCAGGACTCTGAAGGCCAGTAAAGTTCCTCCACCCCAAAAACTGTCTTTATGGACCTTGCTTTGCGCACTGGTGTGCAGTCATGTTGGAACAGGAAGGGGCCATCCCCAAACTGTTGATATCATGCAGCTAGCAGGACTTTGGTTCCTCCACCCCAAAAACTGTCTTTATGGACCTTGCTTTGCGCACTGGTGTGCAGTCATGTTGGAACAGGAAGGGCCATCCCCAAACTGTTGATATCATTACAGCTAGCAGGACTTTGCAAAATGCATCAGACACACAACTAAAGAAGGGTGTTAAGAGTTCCAGAGGATTTAAAGATCATTTATTTATTCTTAAAGCAAAAATGAAAAAAAATAACAGATCACTGCAAAAGCAGCCTAAAGAATACTTCAGCTTTCATATGAAACTGAATATACAAGGTGCCTACAGAAGGCATGCTGTGATTTGATATTATCAGACATTCCTCTTTCATTTCTATCAGCAGCCCAGCTATGACATTCTAAACCTGAAACCATTTTTTTCTGTGCGGATACAGCATCTTGAGGAAATATCTATACTGTGTAGAGAATTCCCTAGATATCTAATTTGTTACAAAGTTGGAAACATGAATTTGTCCGAAATGTCTTGGTATGGACACCTTAAGAGTTCCCTTCACTAGAACTAAGGGGCCAGACCCAACCCCTGGAAAACAGCCCCACACCATAATCCCCCCTCTACCAAACTTTACACTTGGAACAATACAGTCAGGAAAGTGCCATTCTCTTGGCAACCGCCAAACCCAGACACATCCATTGAATTGAGTCCAGTGGTGGCGTGCTTTACACCACTACATCCGAAGCTTTGCATTGAACTTGGTGATGTAAAGCTTGAATACAGCTGCTTGGCCATGAAAACCCATTCCATGAAGCTCTCTGCTCACTGTTGTTGTGCTAATCTGAAGGCCACACAAAGTTTAAAGATCTTTTGCTGTTGACAGTTGGTGACATCTGCACACTGTGCATTTCAGAATGTGCTGACCCCGTTCTGTCATTTTACATTGCCTACCACTTTGTGGCAGAGTTGCTGTCATTCCCAGTTGCTTCCAAATTGTTATAATACCACTAACAGTTGACCTTGGAATATTTAGTAGCAAGGAAATTTCACAGATGGACTTATTGCACAGGTGGCAACCTATCACGGTACCACGCTTGAATTCACTGAGCTCCAGAAAATGACACATTCTTTCACAAATGTTTGTAGAAGCAGTCTGCATGCCTAGGTTCTTGATTTTATACACCTGTAGCCATGGAGGTGATTGGAACACCTTAATCCAATGATTTTGAGGGGTGTCCAACACTTTTGGCAATATAGTGTATGTTGGTGTGATATCTTTCATTTGGATGTTATAGGTTGCACTGAGTGAATACAGCTGGCTAAAATATAAACTGTATCTGTCTTCATTTCAAGCTGCAAAGTAACAAATTGTGATTATTTTAAAGGGGGGTGATTATTTTCTATACCCACTGTACATCTAACTTCTGTAACATTGTCTCGCACTGCATGATTATGGAATGCATGATTCTGCAATAATAACCCATCATAAAACATTTATTAGACCCCATATAGATTGAAATCCAAACTGTATTACAGTGCCTTTGTTCTGTATGTACCTCTGCTGCAGGCAAGGCGGCTATGCTGTGATGTGCTGGCATTCTAAGACAAACACTTGAAGCCAGGCTAACCTTCCTTGTGGAGTCACCGCCAGTCCCGCAGACGTCCAGCCCAGAGATCAGTAACAGAAAAGGAACACAGCCCACTTCCTTTAGCTTGTCATTCTCTGGGAGCGAAAGGTCGGCAGAGATTTGGCCTTGTTTTTATTCGGCAGGAAGATCGGCCTATACTGCAGCACAAAACAAAAGAGAGGTCTCTCAGGCTTTCAATTTTATGTTATGTGAAAATTGTGTTTGGCAGGAACCGCTCTTTGGAGATTTCAATTAGGTTTTGTTGCACTCATACATATTTGACTAGCCGTATAAAAATGTCATCCTTTATATGTTATTAAAAAGGCCTGCACTGCATTATGGACTATCTGACCTTCTCTTTGAAGCATGTATAATGGATTGTGTACGAAAGCTGCATAGCCAAGGTTTTCATTATTTGTTTTTTCTCTCTTAAAGGGAATGTATGAGTGTACAATTATTTGTTTACTTATACTATGCATGTAAAAAAAAAAATATTTGCTGTAAATAATGTTTGTTAAAGGATAAGTTCACCAACATGTTCCACCCATTTTTACGGTGGAATATGTAACATATTCCCATAGCTGTAGGTAAAGCCCACCCCCAAAAAGTCTTCCCATACTATCTGTCAGATTTGAAAACAGCGAGTAAAGGTGGGGCTCCGCCCACACTGCCGTGTCACTCATTCACAGTGTTCTGTGAATGAGTGCCTACAAGTCCCAGCAGCCTTAGTGGCTGTCAGCTGGTAGTTTTCAATGCTGTGGAGCGCCGTGGTAGCTTCCTGTCAGTATATCTGCTTGACCTGAACATCCCGTACGGCAACCAGACTTTCTGACAGGTCTGCAGGAGACCTGCATAGCATCAGCAATCTAACGCTGGTGCAATGCTTTACAGGCTCCTTTGGACAAAGGAAACAGAAAACACACATACATTGAACACCAAATGAAAAACAAAACTACCCTAAACAACACCACAAATGGGATTTTAATATGTAAAACTACTGCCGAGGTTAGCAAAAATTAAGTCTTGTTTTGTTGGCCTCATTCACAGTCTGCCCCCAGTTCCAAATTGCACTAGAATTGTGGCAAAACATGCAAAACGCATTTGGTGCCATTCATTCTTAATGGCACCCAAAACACCATGTGAGTTTGCTGTGATTTTTGCGTAACAAAATGCAAGAATGCTGCAGCAAAATGTGCCTAGCTCAGGGCCAAAATTTGGCCCCTAAGCTTCCTTGCCATGGCAAATGCACATAGAGCAGCCTATTCATGTGAAGTCTGCATTGGATCAGGAAAACCCTGGACAGGTAAGTGTCTCTTTATTACAAATCAGCAGCTACAAGATTTGTAATTTAAAAAAAAACTGCCTGAAGAACCTCTTTAACCACTTCAGTATTGGATATTTTCACCCACTCCCTGTCCAAGCCACTTTTCAGCTTTCAGTGCTGTCACACTTTGAATGACAATTGCCTGGTCATGAGACAGATAGAGATTTCTTATGGTGATATTTAACCACCACTGGTATCTTTTATTTTTTGCTAAACAAACAAACAAAAAAAGACCCAAAATTGTGGAAAAAAAAGTTTTCCTAGTTTCTGTTATAAAATTTTGCAAATAAGTAATTTTCCTACCTCACCGATGTGCTCTGATGAGGCTGCACTGATGGGCATGATAGACTGCACTGATGAGCACTGATGAGGTTGCACTGATGTGCACTGATGAGGCTGCACAGATGAGGCTGCACCGATGGGCACTGATATGCTGAACTAATGGGCACTAATAGGTGCCACTGATGGGCACTGATAGGCGGCACTGATATGCTGCACTGATGGTCACTAATAATCCGCACTGATGGGCACTGATGGGGCTGCACTGATGATCAGCGCACTGATGATCAGTGCCCTGATTGTTAGTGTAAATGTGTCCTGTCAGGATTTCCGGTTATTGGCTCTCCTTTCTTCACACAGTGACAGCGCGTGAGGAAAGGAAATGCTGATAACCTGCAAGTTTCCTTACATGTGATCAGCTGTGATTGGACATAGTTAATCACATGGTAAAGGACCACTGTGATTGGCCCTTTACCTCGATCTGTGATCAGCTGAGTCTAAAGGACACAGGGGGGCATGCAGGTGGTGGGGTTCTTGGAGGACATATAGACGCCCTCCCAGAACTATATATGGAGTGGTGTATTCAGGTTTTGTGCTGCCCTAGGCAACACAAAAATCAGACGCCCCCCCTCTCTGGCAGAGAGAGCCTGGACCAACACCAGAATCCCCCCCCCTCACAGAGAAAGCCTGACAGTGACCAACACCCCTGCTCCATTCCCCCCCCACATGAGAGAGCCTTTCACTAACTCCCCCCCAAACGATGACAGAGAAAAAGACACTCACCTTTACTGTTCTGTACATCCCAGGGAACGACAGATGGGCTCTGCATACACCATCAAGCAGCCCACAACCTTTCTCGGATCCCGCCTGGTCTCCATGCCGCACGTGTCCCTTCTTCTGGGGGGCACTACTGTCCCCCTAAAAAATGCTGCCCTAGGCAAATGCCTTGTTTGCCTTGTGGTAAATACGCCCCTGGCTATATGACTGCACTGTAGCTGTCTTTTGGCTATAGCACAGTTGGAAGGTGGATGATTACTTAAACTGACCATACACTAGCAGAATTTTGTTTGCAAACTTTCAGTTCAGGAGGGTTCATTTGCTTTTCTAGTGGTCAGTGGGGCCAAATCGATATTTGTTTTTTAATGCATTGAGAAGAAAATTTAAAAGAGCAAGATGAAAACTTTTTTTCTACAAAATTGTAACAAAATTGTAACAGTATATGTGGTTTTCATTTGAGTAATTACATTCATTCCAAAATCAAGTGTCAAAAGCAAATGAAATTCTGAAGTATGAATGTTCATATGAACATTGATTCTTAAATCTACTACTAGTCTTCCAGAGCATAGCCAACAATTGTTTTATGATGCACAAACTTTAGCAAACAAAACAAATTTGTTTAGGTGGGATAACCATGAAATTGTTCCTGACATAACCCATATATGTCTTCCACCTTAAAAAAGATCAGTGAGGTTGATCAAATTATACTCCGATATTGGGACCTGTTCACAGCTAATATTACCATTATTTGTATGTGTTGCTGATTGGTGAGCAAAGCACTAAGTAAAAGCTGGCAAGGCAAAATTAGCTATAGCGACATGAATTAAGCTGCTGAGTCACTCCTTATCCCTTGATAAATAAATGCCTTATAGTAGTGTACTTGTATCCTGCTGTTTGTGAGCTTTTAATACCTGCTGGCTTCCATTTTTAATGCAATTCAAATCCATCATTATATAAGGCTCCCCTCTGGCTTTTCCTTATTCCAACCACTAAGTCAACTCGTGCGGATCTATGAAATATGTAATATTAACGTTGTGCATACATTGTGGAAAAACAGCGTGTTCCAGAATGTGAATAAGTATTTGAAAAAAATACATTTGTATTGATTTGGACTTGTTGTGCAGGCTATTATGGCTATAAACACCTTAAATTTAAAATAAATCTATTATACATTTTTACAGGCATCAAACATTTTTTCTAGGTGTATTCGTATTTTTATGTGAGTGGGTCTAATGACAAGTACATGCAGACATTTTACAATGGGGCATTATAGGGTCTCATGTACACAGGGCGTTTGCCCAGCTCTTCTGAACACCTTTCTCTTGGCAAGAGAAAAGCAGCACTGATAATGCACCTAAAGTCCTGTTTTTCAAAGGTGTTTAGGCACATTCAGGTGCACCAAGTGATTGGGCATTCATTCATTTCATTGGCCAGGATGTATGTATTCTTGCCATTGAAATGACGAATGCTCAAGCACTAAACACAGCTAGTATTTAGGCACGTCAGATGTTTTTTTCTCTCCAAACACTCCTCTCCTGATTGCAATTTTAGTGCCTTCAAATTTCTGCCCCTACACATATCTAAACGCCTGTAAATGCTTATGTGAGCATGAATACATAGACTAACATGAAGGAGCGTTTAGAGGCAGAACCCCCCCCCCCCCCATCAAACACCTATAAAATGGCCATTTTTTTAACTGCATTGTGCTTGAGGCCTAAATGAGCTGCATTCAGTGCTCTGAGGACAGAACTCAGAACAGAGTGCATGTAAGAAAAAATTGCAGCAGTGTCAGATCTAAACCTGGCCATACACTGGTAGAATTTTATGGGAAAATTTTCTTTTTTAGAACATTTCTCAAAAATTTTCTGCTTATTAGTCAGGTCAAATAAATGTTAATTTTCTACCAAGGTAATGAACATTCGTTTAGAAATCTGCTAGTATAAGGCCAGTTTAAGAGGTCCAGGAATGTGCATTGTAAGACATCAGACATAACAAAACAGTGTTCAGTACAGCCCTGGCCAAAAGCATTGAGAATGACACAAATAATAATTTTCATAGTCTGATGCTTCAATGTTTTTAGATCTTTTTGTCAGATGTTACTATGGTATACTGAAGTATAATTACAAGCATTTCATAAGTGTCAAAGGCTTTTATGGA